GCTAAGTGCTTAACCACAGTGAATAATAAATATTTTATCTATTTTTTTAAGTTTAATTTTTTTGAGAGAGAGAGAGACAGAGAGCGAGTGAGCACAGGTCACACTGTCAGCGCAGAGCCTGACGCGGGGCTCGAACTCACGAACCGTGAGATCATGACCTGAGCCGAAGTCAGGACTCAGACAACCATAGTGAATAATGAAGACAACTTAATGAAGACAGCTGAAGAACAGCTCTAGCATTACAGAATTATTAAAATAATCATCAAAATGATAAAATGATACATACGGAGGACAATGCAGAGAAAACATATGCCTAACCAGTGCATAAAGAAGGAAAAAAATGGAATGGAAAAGTGGAATATTTTCTTACAGGAGGAAACGTTCCTGAAATTAAAAATAAAAGATGTATCTATAGATCAAAAGGGACACGCACACACTTGGCCTCTCTCAAAAATAGATAAACATTAAACAAACAAACAAACAAACAAAGAATCGGGGATGCCTGGGTGGCTCAGTCAGTTAAGCGTCTGACTTTGGCTCAGGTCATGATCTCACAGGCCATGGGTTCGAGCCCCACAATAGCTCAGAGCCTAGAGCCTGCAGCCTGCTTCGGATTCTGTGTCTCCCTCTCTCTGCCCCTCGCCCACTTGCACTCTGTCTGTCCCTCTCTCTCATTCTCTCTCTCTCAATACTAAACATTAAAAAAATAAAAAGTGGGGCACCTGGGTGGCTCAGTCAGTTAAGTGTCTGACTTCAGCTCAGGTCATGATCTCATAGTTCATGGGTTTGAGCCCCACATGGGGCTCTGTGCTGACAGCTCAGAGCCTGGAGCCTGCTTCAGATTCTGTCTCCCTGTCTCTCTGCCCCTCCCCTGCTTGTGTGCTTGCTCCCTCGCTCTCTCAAAAATAAACAAACATTAAAACAAAATAAAAAAAGAATCAGATGCTTAACTCACTGAACCACCCAGATGCCCCTCTTTGTACTTTTATATACATTTTAAATAATAAACTTTTTTTCCCACAAGCAACAAATTTCATGTTCTTTCAAAGATCATCATCAAGAATGACTGTTATGTTAAAAAATTCAAATAAATTCTAAAAGTATAAAAGTGTATACATAGTATGATGCCAAGTATATACATTTTTAAAAAAGTATACACATGTGTGTACCAGAAAAGAGGCAAAGGTGCTAAGATTTTAATAGTGCTTCAGGGGTTAGGGATAGATTTCTCTCAAAATCTGAAATGAGAGTAATGGAAAACTATAGAAGATAACAAATAGTTTTGCTGCTTCTGTTAAAGATTCCCTTCCTATTACCACAAGCAGTAATAATGACCCCGAATAATGAACGATGAGGCTTAAAAAGAGTTTAGAGTCTATTTGCCTACCTGGGGTGATGGAGGGAATTGCTGTGGCTTAGGGTAAACAAAGATCACGTATTTATTAACAGATTATGTCATTCAACAAAACTGAGGACAGTATTGACACAGACCGAAGGCAAATCCGCCCCAGCATGAAGAGTCTTTAGGCCATGAGTTGGGTTGACAGAGAAAAGACCACCACCTGAGGTATGAGATGTGGCCATGGATGTTTGAGCGAGGGCATCTGCTGTTCTGACACACAACCTATGTCTCTGAGGGCTCATCACACACACACACACACACACACACACACACACACAC